ATACTTTGGGGGATGACGCCTATATAGGGATATCATCCGACTCACACATCCTCGCGGGACAAGGCCACCTAATTTGGTGAAGTATCCCTCACGGTTACCATCCTTTCGAGGATGACACCTATATAGGGATACCAACAAGTTTACATATCATTTCCTGTCGTCGCAATGAATCATTACTTTTTTTTCCTTATATTCTCTATTTGATTCCCTTTTTTTTTTTATTCATTCCTCTTTATTATTTGTGTTTTGCAGTACCATGGTGTATTTCACAGGACATTTTATCTCTGATAAAAAACATCTTGTTATCTTGGCACATAAAGATCAATCTATAAAAAGTGGGATTATCTTTCCAGTGGAAGAACAAAAGTCAGGTCGTCTTTCAGGGTCGTGTCCTCAATTAGATGATCTCCCTTTCCTTGCTGAATGGTTTGTGGAGAGGCATTTGAATAATGATTTGTCAACTAAAATATGGATTTTACAATCTCCAATTCATAACGAGATTCCTGATCAGAATTAGATTTAACTTTTGGACATCGCATAATGAATAATAAAGCACAATGGCGGCCTGGGCCTGCATTAAAGACTCCTGGGGAGTTTTATTATATTGCTTACTATTGGGAATGGCTAGAGGTCGTAGTTACTCGTAGCAAAAAGACCCTTGGCAAAGCTCATATATTTGATGCAATAATGGCTTCCCTATATACGTATGATCGTAACAACGACATGGTTCGAGCCTTTTGAGAGGCTTGGTGTCCGTCAACCAATACTCTACATACTTCTGCCGGTGAATTATCTCTCTCTATGGGATTTGTGGGAAATTTGGAGGTCGTCCTATTATAGGAAAATTCTATGAATAAGTCATTCCTAGTCATAAAGAACTAACAAAATCGGGTAGGCAAGGCAGATATCTCCCAAAAAGCTGTGAGTACCCTTTTAAAGTGTACTACGGTTTGGCTTCTAAAAGAAATGGTCATTCTCATGTTGTCACCAGTTCCTGGATTTTCTTCTTGTTCAAGTGTAAGCTAAAGTATATTGAGCCTCCTCATTGAAAGCCAAAGAAGACATCTCGTCCTCATTCAACTCATAACCCTACTGGTGTTTTATCCAAAGCTCGTGATTGGTCAAGTAAGGAGAAATGTTTGTTCCAAGAACATAATATAGACGATGAGTGGAGAGAAAAAACGTATCTAGCTGCCTTCATATCCTAGTGGTTATGTTGCTTCGTGTTTCCTCACAAGAACCTCAACTTTCTTCGTCCAAGAGTTTTTAAGATCGCTAGCTTGATGGCCGAGGGAGACACTTTCAGTTGTCATCCCAGTCTTGGCTAATATATATCACGAATTAGGTCAGATCTTAAACGCCTCTGAGCCGGTTGTAGGTTTGGAAGCTTGCCTTCCCATGCATTATATTCAGGGTTGGTTGGCTCACTACTTCAACACACATTACAAAACACTTGTGGAGGTCCAGAGCCCCAGGATGGTTAAGTTTTCAGGTGAGTTTTCAGGATGTTGTAGCTCGTGAATTGATTCATAATGGTAGGTCCATAGCATGGCACGTAAATGTTCAATCCAGGAATCAGAACGAACTTTTAGTGGATGATGGCAATTTGTCATTCACACAATGTTTTTATTTCTCCAACCTCAGAACTTGTTACTTATCATCACGATGTGGGGATTCAATGATTATTGAATCATATAACCCTCATCGATTTGGTCGACAGTTTGGCTTCTATCAGGACGTACCTTATTTTTCTAAAGAAATTTCCCCCATAGTTAATTTGGACAACGTCCTATATGATTGGAGAGTTTGCACTCGAACTAATACATTGTCACAAGTGTTTATTCCGGCTCGTACATTAAATCCACATGAACAAGTCACTGTTCAATACAAAAGTTGTTGGTCCAACAAACATAGAGATTACCTCGAGAAAGATATATCAAAGTTGGTGAGTAGTGCTCTTCCTCATTCACCACAACCTAAATTCCCAAAAAGTAAAGGAGGTAATAAAGGAGGAAAAGACCTTCGTCTAATTGAGGATAAAGTCTCTAATCCGACACTGGATGTTAGCGAACATACTGAAGAGAGCCAAGACATTAATGGCGATCGCCATTCGAAGCAAACAAAAAAATAAGTAAATAAAATGTTTCTACATGAGATTATAAAAGTAAAAAAAAAATAATATAATAAAAAAAAATCAAGGCTTCCACTTGAACTCTTTCAACCCTTGGCGTGCACTTTCCAAAGCATTACAAACTACCTCCAGAGATCTCACATTTGTT